TTTACTTACGTTGACCCGTTATTCTATCCGTCCTTTGATCCATGCTCAAGTGCATTGTTAGAGTGTGAAATTGATTAGTACTCATAGCATACTAGCCCAGTCGATACTAATAACTTGTCATCTACATTTATTATTGACTATGATGGTTCACTAACAAGCTTTAGTAGCATTTACGTGCTTCAGTTAAACAAACATGCTAAAACATCGAGTACTAGAAAACATGGCCTTTAACTGACGTGAATTGACAATGGCTAAGGTACTAGCACTCCTAACTATTTTTCAACTCGAGATACTTCTATAGAGGAGTTTCCCAAGTTGTAACTGTAGTCTGTAACATATCTCAGATGGGCTAATTTACACTTTGGAGTGTTAAAGGTAAATCCGTTGTCATCTGCCAAACTTTGAAGTCAAGTCAGATCTTCCTAAAGTGTCAGTATATCCTCTCGGTTGCGTATCTCTCTTCAAAGTTTCACACCTTCAGCAAAATGTAACAAGTCTGACGATACCTGTTGTGGAATATCGTTTATATAAATCAAGGAAAGAAGAGGCCATTTTACTGAACCCTGGATGACTCAATAAGACAATCAATATCTCGAGAGAAAGTGACGTTAACCCTGACCTTGAAATGTTGATTATTTAGATCTGAGGTGAGCCAGTCAATTGGAGATGATTTGATACCCAATCGTTTGGGCTTATTGATAAGACGTACATGTTTGACCCTGTCAATTGATTCTGAGAAGTCAAGGTAAATGACATTAACCTTCCTTTTGCGATCAAGGGTGGTTGTCCATCTGTCCACCGCAGTCAGCAGGTTGGTTACAAAAGAATAACTCTTCCTGAAACCATGTTGTTGGGGTGAAAAGAAGTTTAAGGACAATAAATAGTAGTGTATAGCGTCGCATATCAGGGACTCAATAATTTTTGAAGGTATGGAGAGAAGTTGAGCTACTCATCAAAATCAATCAAATATGTGACCTTCGGGTCATGGTGACCGCCTTTCATAACTGGGTTCGTAGTTGCGGTGCATAAGAGCACTTCATGACCTGTAAAAGTAGAATATGCGGTTAAGGAAAAAAAGAAAATTACAAAGCGTACGAGGATCGAATGGGTTTTTATGGTCATTGGCGCAATTGGAGTCTTACAGATTAACCATTTGATGGGTTCAATGTAGGTATGCATGTTATAGTGAGACTATATCTCTTAAAAATGCCCAGAAGATGGTTAGGCTTGCATCTCGCAAGCGTGCAAGTTCTACCAGTCATGAGTATCGTAAATATTCGACCAATGTTAGTAAATACTGCAATCCCGGCCATTGCAGCCGTTGTAGTCTATTGGTCGAGTGCTTGTGGAGTTGGTGTTTTCGTTCATGAATCTCAAAACCATACCATGTTCGCTGAGTGTAAGTTACTCAGACACAAAGAAAAATAACAATGAAAGGACGGATTAGTATGCCAAAGTTTCCCAACAAGTCACACTAAAACACTGTCTTAGTTGGTGGTTAGCTACCTAAAGTATGAGCATTACAAGTGTTTTCTGATCATACTAATAATAATCGAAAATTAAAGTCACGTATGTAGTAGGTTTCAGCTATTGGATAAGAAAAAGAACACATATGATCTGTTATTTATATAAAATAAGGTTTTATGAAACATAACTATAGTGATATGTAAATAAGAACTTTCGTCTAAATTTGAACGAATTGTTTCACAACATTTGATATGTTCCAGAAGTTCGTATGGACAACTGACTATAATTAGTTTAATGTGAGCGTAGCCGTGAGAGTCATGTCGTAAACTCAATATTCTTGTAGTGTGTCCTACTGATGTCAACATATATAGGTAGCATGTGTCATAAATCGAAAGTGAGATGTCTGAAGGCAGAAGTTTAAGAGGATCGATGAGAAGAGAACGAGAACAGAAAATGGTTGGTGTAGAATCGAAAGAACAGTGAATTCTGAGACGATTGATTGGCATTTTACAATTGAAGTGTTTACTGTATGGTTCTCGGAGTTTACTAAGATGTTCTGTAATTTTGTGTTCAGACGCATTCGGTTGTCTCCACTTGTGTTCTGGTTCGCTACACTATCACCTTATAATTCGCCCTAGAATAGCCTTTGGATCCTTTAGCTATCTAATAATGATGGATATTTCATCATCTCTGGTTTCAGGATGGTTTTAGCTGTGGTGGTGGGCTTAAAATCAATTTGCGTACTTATCTGGCAACTGAAGGAAGAAGGATTTAACTGAAATCTCGATAGCGAATTCCTTCAGATTTAATATTTTGCCTCGTGAAATAGTGCTCCAGTTGAACGAACCACAACTCGGTGTTACTACGATCAAATTTTGGCGGTTGGACTTTCGTAGTCATAATAGTGTCTATCTCTACTGGTGACAAATCCTCCAGGCTTTTGGATTGCATTGAGTCTGACATGTGGTGAATGACCAATATAGTAACATAATAAGAACGAGGTAAAATAATGACCGCAAATTGAGCCACGCATAAATATGTACATTAAACATTAGTTAGGGATAATCAGAAGGTCTACTTTTACGACCGAGAAAAAAAATAATGGTAGTAAGCAAATCAGAAATTGAATTTGTGTTCAGTACAGGACTCACCACAGTGGAGCGGGAGGTTACCAGTTCTAATATACGAAGCTTTTCAACATTTAATATAATATAATAGGAAAAGTAATGCCTACACAAAATAAGGACGTGAGTGAATACTTGAGCTCTATTGTTTTAATACATACTTAGTAGTTTGGGGTCAACTCTTAACTAGTCAACCTATGTTGTTACATGCGTTCAATCCAATTCACTACGCTGTACTTTTAATTTCTGTTTGCTGCCCTTAACGATGAATTCGATTCATACATATTCGTTTTGCAGTACGTTTTGGTTGTCTCCAGCTCTTTGTCGTTGACAATGTGACAATCATTCTATTATGCTGATGTTGTTCTCCTATGTTTGCAGCTTCTTAGACTCGTGTTTCCTATCTTATTTTGGTTTCGTCATTTTACCAAGCCGTCCTATAACATACACTTTCAAACGCGTGAGCACAAACCTGATAGTTGGCATTCGATAACAACTATAAAAATGACGAGTTAATAAATAAAGACTATAACGATAAAGTCATGTGAAAATTCCAGTAATTTTCGTCACTTAATCAATAAACATTAACCACATTTCGTTCCTGAACATTCGGAATATAAATCCCAGCTGCCCTCATATATAATTGTCAACTTAATCCGATTTGAGAACAACGGAATAAAACAAGTCAAATGAAGTTTGAATACGTATATTTCGTAAACGCACTGGTCTGAACAGACAGTCAGGCAGAAGTAGTGCAGAAAACAAAGAGGAGAGAGTAAAGCGAAACGAAATGACCCTCAGTGGAAAAGGCAAATGAGCCAACTCAGTTTAACCGGGCGTCACTTAATGTTTGTAGTCAGACCAAAATAGGATATGCAATCAACAGATATACGATCACATAGATACAGTCAGGTTAATAAGCTAATAAGTGACAGGGTCAGAATGTGGCTTGGGAGAAATGAATTAATCGGTTTTTCCAGAGACTAGGATAACCTATGTGTACAGCAGTGTATTTACGAGCGGTAATCAATGAGTCGTCTTGTGTACCTTCACAAAACCGGGGCAACAAGTTAAAGGTCGGGCTATTACTTTTTAACAAAAGCTTTGCGATCAATAATGGTGATTGCAAAAATTATGGGAATCAATGAAAAATGCAAATATAACAAAAACCGGTTAAAGAAATCAGTCTATTTTAAGTATTCTCACAAACTTTATCTATCTAGTAACCTTACTCAGTTAATATTTTATCCGTAAACCCATGTCATAAAATATTGATTAAGCCTGTAAATTTGGTCTGTACCGGCCACGTATTAAAACACACAAAACATTCAAAATGGATCTTACAGTGTGCTTCCACAACTCACTCTAGAGATTGAATCCCATAGCGATCCCTTTGCTCTTAACTCATCAAGCTAACATCCAATAGCTAACAAATCTGAATTCAGTCAGCTGTTAAGATTTGTTATTTGAAAGGTATAAGAATATTATTAGAAACCTTTGCATAAATTCATGTTATAGATTTAGAAAATAAATCAACGTCTCTTTATAAAACTGGGGTCCTTTACAAAAATATCAAAAGCAAACTTATGTAAATCTCTCAAGTATTGTTTAACGGTGGTTAAATTATGGTTATTCACACAATGAATAAAAGTTGCCAAATATCTTACTTACGCCTGTTACTCCTCGTGAAGGAGCATAGGCCGCTCACCAGCGTTCTCCATACAACCCTGTCCTGGGCAATCCTTTCTAGCTCCGTCCAGTTGTAATTCATCGTTTTCATATCTGCTTCTATTATCCGACGCAATGTGTTCTTTGGCCTTCCTCTTTTTCGCTTCCCTTCAGGATTCCAAGTAAGGGCTTGCCTCGTGATGCAGTTTGACGATTTGCGTAATGTATGTCCTATCCATTTCCATCGTCTTTTCCTAATTTCTTCTTCAGCTGGAAGTTGGTTTGTTCTCTCCCACAGAAGGCTGTTGCTGATGGTATCCGGCCAATGGATGTTGAGTAGCTTGCGAAGACAGCTATTTATAAATACTTGTACCTTCCTGATGGTGGTTGTTGTAGTTCTCCAAGTTTCAGCTCCAAATATCAGAGTAATTTTATCTTTTTAACCAAATGATGTAAAATTTTTGTCTCCAACCCTTAGAACTGTAAATGAAAAATGGTTATAACATAAGATAGGGTGGTTGAATGCACCCACTACGAAGTGATGGTTGTGATTTCTAACATTCATTTAGTGGCATCCACTATTTTAAGGAATGATAAAGAACGTTATGTTTTCAAATATACTATCCGGAAAATAGAGAAAGTATTTCAGACGAAAGGTTAAGGTGATATTTTGCTTGCTATCCACGCTTTAGGATGATCACTAGAGTGAAAATTTGACTTGTTTAAATTATGTAGTCAGCCACACTCTTCTTGGAGAGGCTATTTGAACTTCTGCTTGTCGATGGCATTCTCTGAAGGTGATTTTGAGAAAGGGAAGAAGCTCTTCGTTCAAAGATGTGGACAGTGTCACACCGTTGAGAAAGGTGGTCCACACAAAGTAGGACCCAATCTAAATGGTTTGTTTGGACGTAAAACTGGTCAAGCTCCTGGGTATACCTACACTGCTGCCAACATTAGTAAAGGTAATCTCCAAAAGCCTTTGTTTGTTGTTATTTTTTACTTCACTTCAATAGAAAGATTAAAGTGAATAGGTCATTGGTTAAGTTTACAGGGATCATAGTTCGCAGAGACAGATCAATAGTTTCCCACAACATATAGAAGTGCGGATTCATCAACGAAACAAACAGAAAGTTTCTTGAGTCTGAACCTTATCGATAGGTGCGTTGCTAGCTTTCGCAAGCTTCAACAGCTACCATATAATCCATTATTCGTCACAATCGTATTAGTTCAGTAATCTCAAAAGGTGACTTGTTCGCATAATGGGGTTCAGATTTTTCACTCGAGACATGGACAGTTCCAAATCATTATCGAATTTTCCGTCACATAGCATCTTGTTATGAAAATCTATTCTTTTTCAGCACCACTAAAATACTACTTTCTTGCTAACCTTCCTAATTTCTATCCATTTATCCAAATTGTATCAACTTTGACTAATGCATATCTGTGATCGTTCTGACTTTTAATACGACTGCCCCCTGGGATTATGTCTATGGAACTGAGTTCGCTATTCCTCGACATGTAGTGGAAGAAGTAGGTTTTTTTTCGGGTTGATATCTTCGTGCTGGATACGGTTCATCCAGAATGATATGGTCCAGTGACCATTCGTGTCGTAGGATAGAAACTATAGGTGGTCCTGTTGCGGTCCTGATATCTCAGCTTAAATATTTCCACTTTTATGTTGACATGGTTTCTTTCGTCTTTATTCCATTCCAAACGTAACTTCCGATGTCTAAATTTTGCATGACTTAATTTTATTTTATTTAAACACCAAATGAATATGCGCCACACAAATCATTCGGTTTGTGTGAAGGCTAGGATACTCTCCGGGTGCCCACACCGAAGCAGATGGTTCTCCTAGGGAGCCACACCCAAGCCTTTGACCTAAAGGTCTAATCCACAAGGCAGTGGAGCAACGTAAGGAGATGTAGTTCCATGGTAACTGGTGACCAACTATACGTTCGTACGCCATTTATTCCCTCAGGATTCTGGAGCCCATATGCACTATCAGTTTGTAATCAGGGTTTTCCAACTCCCGTGTTCAACTCCGTATCCACCGACCCGGTTGAAGCGCCGGACATACGCTATTAGTCCTCTCAATTTTGTAAACTACACCGCCGCGAGAAGGCAGTGAGTAGGACTTCCCTGACAGTGGTTGTATGCATGTGGACATGTGAGAGCATTTTGAGAGAGAGAATTGACTCTCCCCACTTTCGGCCGTACCAGGGCATGACTTCCTAATCATGATATAATATTTTCTTTACCGAATTATAATCTCCTGATTCCTCGTTGTCTCTTTTTTCTCTTCCCAAATTTATTTCACTGGATTGTACTCTTTAAATAACATCTACAAACCCTACTCTTTCCGATTACTGCTTATACTCTTACTACCTCTACCACCACGGGATTTGAATCGACAACTTCTCTGTGCAAATGTGGTATGGCAACTCGAACTGATGTACGTACGTACGAAGTTCTACGTTGTTACTGACTGACTGTTAAAACTGCCCTTTGATTGATGATGCCTAATCACTTGTATTTTATAGACCCATTCGCTGATCCAACAGATTTTATTCTTATGACTTCTAGTTACTAGTACATTATGTCCGTCTAGGCTGTGTATAAAAGATGTAAGTGCGATTGAAAAATTACCTTGATTTAGGAAATTATTCACTAGTGGTAGCAAGCTATTACGTACTATAACAATCTTCTGTTCACAAACCTGAACAAACATTTATCGTCAGTCTCCAAAGATTATCTGTGTTTTACGAATAACTGGTAATTTTCACTTATGCAAACTTGTGAGAGATTTTTTGCTAACAATATTATTATCGCATAAACCATCAATACGGTTGCTAATTCATTTAATATTTCATAAAGTAAGTCAAGTATTTAAGGTGTAAATATGCTTTTTGCTTCTTTATTTCATGAACCACTATTTCCACTTATATTATCAATTCTTTCATTATTGCTTAGGCATCATATGGAATGAGCAGACTCTATTTGAATATTTGGAAAATCCAAAAAAGTATATCCCTGGTACAAAAATGGTGTTTGCTGGTTTAAAGAAGGAAGCTGATCGCAATGATATTATTTCCTACCTTAAAGAAGCAACAAAATAAGAATATTCTAAATATCTGACTCCTAGATTTAACTTCGTTGTAGCAGTTCTTTAATTAACTAAATGTGTATAGAATCATAAAACCTGAGCTTCCAAGTACGTGAAAATGAATACTCTTGGCTGTGTATTTCTGATCTATTCTGAGGTCAATATACTATGATAATTCAGTTTCTGAGATTTTTGTAAAATTAATACTAGTGAAAACATATTAACATAATAATGAACTGTTCATCTTATTTCTTCCGTGTATTCGGATATAATAAGCTTCAAATGTCCTTATTGCTATTATACTGTTTGCCAATAGTTTCCGTTTGTTTTCAGTCACTGCTCAAACTAATTCCTAGTGGAATAATAGCTTGGTGGTTGAATTGATTGCAGCCATATAATCTCAGGTTCACATACTACTTTTGTTTAGGTTGTCGGCGGTTACGTTTCTCAGTTTAAACTTAAATAAGTTTTAGTTATGCTTATTCGCTTCACAATAAATTTCCAGTAAGAATAATTCATCTCATCGACTAAAATCAGCAGAAAAAGTGGTCCTCCTGACAAAACAACTGATTGCAGCAACAAGAGGGATATAAATCTGGATTCTGACATACATCCTACCGAACTTAGTATGACGGCATATTTAATTCGTTTGCTTTTGCCATTATGAAACAAATTTAAATCTGTTGTTTGAAATAATAGTTCTATGTAAATCAGGTGAAAGGGCTTACCTGTAATTACAGTTTTAGGTAGCTTTTATATTTACACACACTTCTCACAATTTGAGTTGTACGTCCCCATTATTTACTATTGGTCACTCTCATTCATCTACTTCGGATATAATTGATAAAAAGATGGGTTTCTAAAGTAGAATCTCTGTCGACATTCAGATCAGTATGTACTTCGAATAGGACTTTCTGGGTCGAATAGCCACTCGCAAAATACTTACCATATGTTCATGATGTGATTTCATTAAACCAATATGCCTCGTCATTTTTAACTCCACGTCGAAATAAGACTTTTTTATTGATTTTTATATGTTCATAATCTCAGGTAATCTTAAAGTAATTCATTAGGATTTTATACGGTTTAGTCTGTAGAAGTAATCATGATGGACAAAGTAGAGTCTATACAGGTCTCTACGAGTCACAACCAACAACTGAGTTTATGTGGATATTTTTGAGTCTGTTTTATGTGTTCTCAGGAAATAGCCCATGCGTTGAGGAGTAATTCTTAAACAGAAGTGTGAATTGAACTGGAAAATCCAAAACTAAACATATATACTTTCCTAACAGAGCGATCAGTTAAATTACCTACTTATTAGCTTATCAAAGCATTCAGCAAATTTTGGAATTGTTTCTAGAATAGACCTACTGTCTTTCTAAACTCACATAGATGATCGTTTGAAGATGTAAATAAATATCAAAAAATCTAAATTGGATAAAGATATTACGATGTACTGAAGGACTTGGATTTCTGATCTAACCTTCGTCGATTCTACTGCATAGAAAGAATTTTAACTGGTTTAGTAAATAAGCACTTTCGTCTAGATTTTAACGAGTAGTTTCACAGTATTTGGGCGCCGAGTTAATGTGAGACATTGAAGAGGAAAACTGTATTTGTAAAATCTCAGCAAAAGAATTTGAAGTAAATCCAACTTTTCGCCTGGCAATCTGGTCCAAGCTTTTTCAAAGAAAGTATAATCAAACGTCAAAATCACCGAATATAAATAGGTACATGGTTCTCTGGTTTACCAGAGAAAGGCTTGGACCAGATTGCCAAGCAAATTCTTTCGCTGAGATTTTACAAATACATTCTTCCTCTTTAACTGGTTTGATATCTTGAAAAAATAACGTAAGTATCGTCAAGCCTTAAAGACATTTCAAGTGCTTGCTGCTATGGAGCCCTACTTGGGAAAATTACCCTTTTAACACTTAGTGGCTTTTGTTGTACCTCTAGCAAATATCAGTTGGTGGAAAAATTGCTCAACTAAATAGGAATATCTAATTGTGTGTAGTTTCAAAATAATCAACCTAGACATTTAAACTAGCTTAGATCAATTACACCAATTTATCTATATTTAACCGTACGACTAAATAAGTTAAACCTCATACAATCCGTGAATGATGCGGATCAAATATTAAGATGAAAAGGTTTCAAAAGGATTGCGATGATCAAATAATCTGAGACGTTATTTCATCTGTTACTTAACATAAGTCATGTTAGTAGAGAACAAAGTACAGTTGTAACCTTTTGTAAATATTGGTTTCTTCCTACTGTTGGGATCTTATATAGTCTCAATCTAGAAAAGGGCTATCGAATGGTAGTTAAGTGATGTCGAATATGTATTCTAACAGCTATATTTTTGCGTTTCTATTGTGTAACGTCTCTTATGGAGCTATGAACAGCTTACCATTGGTATTTTGACAACTGGCTAATGAGTTAGAGCCACTTTAAAATAACAATCTGTAATGAAGTATACTCTGATCACTATTATCTATAGGGTTCAGGAAAGTTCACTTTTTGGTGAGCAAACAACGCTGAGAGGTTCACAGGACTTCCCATAAAGGTAGTCAAAAAGTTCCTGGACTTTCATTTCAAAACGTTTTTCATCAAATGAATTTTGTTCTCTTGATGTTACACTCGTGAAACCTAGGTCGGTTTATTAGTTTCAGAATGTGTAATAATATAATATCCGAATTTACATTTCCATACTGAGGTAAGAAATTGATGAGAATTCCAAGTAAACCGTGTGTTCCCACTAGTCTCAACTATTGTACGCTGGTCACAAATTCTTCATACTCTTTGTAAAGCAGATAGAATATAGCTACCGGTAGGTTTCGTCCCGCTTGGGGCTCATCGGCTGAATGTATCTGCATTCGTGTGCTGATGTTCATATCGGGACATAAAATCAGTATCTTTCTCTTCACAACTTGCGAAATAATGGTTATATCAGTCAGTCAGCTACAACGTAGGACCGGATTCATAGCAGTGGTTAGGTCAAAGGTAGTAATATGTAAGAGAAAGATTACATATAGAGATATAGTACAAGAAGAAAGAATTGGTTCGTAGAAAGAAAGATATGAAGCGATTTTAATCTCTTAGTTTAAGGGAAGACAGGGAGTGTACAACAACAACACTGGAACAAAGCAAATCGACCCACATTCACTGTACTAAATAAATAAGATTTATTTATTTAAACCCATAAATACTGGTACGAAGTAGCGCCGAAAAAATTCTGAGACAAGAGAACAATGAGACCATAAAGAGGTAGAAGGCACGATGAAGAAAAGACAAGTGAATGGTTGTAAAAAATTAATGGAAAAAGCAGTTCAGTTAAGAGAAGTTCCTCTCACTCATACGAAGTTAAATGAAGGTTGCAACAGGACCACCAATGGCTTTTATCCTGAGACTTTTCTGAAAACATCTCAAGCCACTGTGCTACACTAGAACCCCAACCAGGGAGTCATGGATGTCTGACATATGCCAGTTATGTACAATTGTCTTTCATACCACAGTACTGTCATAAACTGACCACCGCTTTTTCGAACCAGTCTCAGCATCAGAAAATAATGTTTTGATATATATGCATGCATATCCTCTAAACCATCGAAATAGGTTGTGAAGATCATAAACAATCAACAATTCGGGAAAAAAACAAGTCTTTATGGAGAAGCTCATTAAACCAATAGAAAATAAATGAATACTCCTCACAATTAACGTGAATTTACATTTTGATGTACTTGTATAAGAAAGTATATGGGTGGGACTGAGAAAAGAAGTCCTGAAAATAATCCTAGAAACCAAATTTCACAATAAAACAAAGTCCTCACAAATAAAATACACAGGTCCTTAGTGTACAGTCGACACAGTATGGTTATCTCATAGATAATTAAAAAAAGCAATGAGTACTAGATTTATCTCACTCCAAAGAATCTTTTTCAATCAAGAGTACACTATAATTTATCTATATGAATGAAAGAATGATAAGCTGATATTGTAAAAGAAGAAAAGATACTAAAATAAGCTAACTATAACATAATCTTTTGTTTTTACCGACCCAGAAACTTTCATTCACTCGATAAAATTTATAGCACTTTTGGTAAGTTTATAATTTATGGACGAACCAATCAGGTCACGGATTTTGGTGCGAAATTCACTCATTCATTTGGCTAAATAGGGTTTTGGCATTATAGCTGATGTTAGTTCGTGATGAAAACTCTAAATCTAATTCATAACCCTAAACATCAACTTTAAATCATAATTGTAATTCCTCACGTTGGTTTATAACCCTTATTTGGTCCTATTTATTAGGTGAACACTCTCAACGTCACTTTAGCGTCGCTCAAAGGTCGTCCATAAATTCTAGTCTCACCGCACTATCAATTAAATATGGAATCATGTATAAATATTACGAGTTATCGTAATAATCTTATTTGCTACAAGTGGTTAGCTTTTCTAAATCAAAATTTGCGTCAATCTCCACTACAGTGTATTGTATTGTTTTTCACTTAAATTACCATTTAACTGTCTTATTTTTGAACTCTTCTCTCAACTTTATGTTTAACCACATTATTTAAACATTTTATAGTTGCCGAGATTCCCTAAAATGGATAACAAATTCGTTCCATTCTACTAGTCTTGTTGTCTTAACTCTGAGTTCAAAATGATCAAAAGAATGAAATGTATAAAATGACATATGTATTTTATTTTACCGGTTATTTCCATTAGGATACTATTAAATGAAATGAAATGGTGACTTAATACTGAAATCAATCACATATTCGAACTAAATTCTCCTTAGTTCGGTTTAAGCGCCGAATCAATGTATCCTCAGTGATTATACACAAGTAATATACCTAAAATAGTGAATATGTAGTGACCTAGTTTTATCAAGAGGATGCGATTGGTTTAATCGAAACAATTATTATTATAACCAATTGCACCAGAGATTGTTTTACCGTACTTGTTTGTTTAACTGTACCAAAAACATATACATTCTTCCGTTGATTGTGATCTTGCACGAATTCGATTACGCTCAGTAACCACACTTGTAACCTGGTATTCTTTCGATACCACGAGATCGCTAACAAATACATTTCGACTACAAGCATCAACTGCCTTCTAATATTTGGCTTGCGAGGGATCTTATCGGTTAACTGGCACGTAGTCTTCCTGTAGTGGTGATCATAGTCAACCGCGACTCGACGCCACACTACAAATGCATGAATTTGTACATCAATTAAATGAATATAGAAAATTGTCATTCAATAATGGAAAATATTTCTCCTTCATTAATAAAAAGTGCATTTTCTTTGTTT